CCGGGGGCCAGGCTAGGAAGATGAGCAGCTTGGGGTACTGGAATTTACGAGACAACCCAGGGGGGGGGTTGGGCCCTCAAGCGCCCTAGGCAAGCGAACGGTGAGTGCGCGCCGCTCCTCGGCCCAGCCCGCGCGCCTGGGGTCGCAGAGTCGGGGGGTGTGGACGCCGTATGCGCCGGCCGCTGCCGGTCCGGGAACGCGGGGTCTCCCGGACCTGGGCCGGGCCTGCGGCGGCGACCCCCACCCGGACCCGGGACCCCGATCCACGGACCCTGCTGGGCGGGACGCTGAGAGACCGGCCCCGGGCAGCGGTCAGTCTCCGAGTCGTTTGTCCCGGGCGCTGCCCCAGGCCCTGCCGCCGAGCGCGCTTCGCTCCGGAATAACCGGTTCTCGTCGCTGGCCGGCAGCGCTTCTCGCCGCGCCCTCCAGGGCCGGGGGCGGGGCGGGGAGCGGATCTCCGATTTCGCCGGACAGTGCCCTTCAGGCCCTTCTCCGGGATGGGGCTTCCTCGGGATGGAGTCCCGCCCCCCAGGCCTTGCTGACCTCTATCCCCGCCCCCCCCCCCCCCCCCCGGCTTTCCTCGCCGTCACCTTTGCCCCCGCCGCGAGGCTCGAGCAGCGCTCACAGTGGTTGCGCTGGGCGGCCCTCGAGATGGCGCTCCTGGGGGTTATGTCACCAGCGCCAAACCGCGTGCCACCCCCAGGCGACGGCGGAGGGGTCCCCCAGCCGGCCACGCAGCATTCTTGGGGCGCCTGGGTGGTGGACGCGGAGGGGGGGCCGTGCCCTCGATAAGCAAGGAGCTCGGCGTTCGGATGAGGAGGTGCAACCTGCCGAATGCAGAGGCCGGCGGTGCTCATGGGAGTTGGTGGCCTATGTATTGTTTTTTGTTTTTTCCCCAACATATTTTTATTGATTTCAGAGAGGAGGGGAGAGGGAGAGAGAGAGAGAGAAACATCAGTGATGAGAAGGGGTCATTGATCGGCTGCCTCCTGCACGCCCCCTACTGGGGATCCCACCCGGCGTGTGCCCTGACCCTGACCCCTGACCTCTGACCGGGGATCGAACCGTGACCTTCAGGTTCATAGGTCGGCCCTCAACCACTGAGCCACACCCTGGACCCGCCCGCGGCCTATTTCCTTATGACCTGAAATCACAGCTTCTCTGCAGGCCTGACTGTTACCGCAGCTAGAGGGACCCTGGAGCGGGGGCTGGGCGGGGGGACAGGCCCCGGCCTCCTGGGCTTCACCGCCACCCCACCTGCCCTGCTGACCACTGAGGGCCTCAGGCCCTGGGTGCTGGACCAGTGCAGGCAGCTGGTGCCTGCTGGTGGCTGGTGGCTGCCCGTTGGCACCCACTCCGCTCCTTGCCGTTCTCCGAGTTCCGCACATCAGGACAGGTAGATGGCAGTATCACAGCGGGTGAAGGTGCGGGGTGCCCGCTCACTGCAGGGGGACCAGGTGGGCGAGGGCTGGCTGAGCAGACCCGTGTGTCCTCACCTGCCGGGAGGGTGCTGCCGCCCCTCACAAAGCCCCTTCGGGTCCCTGATGCTGGAAGGTGTGGGCTGAAGGTCAGGCTTCTGCCCCACGTAGAACTTTCTAGAAGTCTTGGTGAGGGCCAGTCTCACCACATCCTTGCTGGCCTGGGGGGAGAGGAAACGACGAGGTAATAGGGGCCCCCCCCCCGCCCCCAGCTCAATACTGACTAGTGAGGTTGGACAGTTCCCCATTTCTGTGACCAAATGAAGTTTCCTTTTTTATTCAGTTTCAACAAATATGTTGTGTGTGTGTGTGTGTGTGTGTGTAAACTGATTTCAGAGAGGAAGGGAGAGAGAGAAACATGAATGATGAGAGAGAATCATCACGTCCCACACGGGATCAAGCCGCAACCCGGGCCTGTGCCCTGACTAGGAATCGACTGTGACCTCCTGGTTCATAGGCCGAAGCTCAACCACTGAGCCCCGCCGGCCCGGCAACAAGTGCACATGGAAAACTCACCGGAATCATGATTTAGGTTCATGTCTGTCTGTCTGTGTGTGTGACTTGGGTTGAGTTTTTTATACATTTACTCGGGCACCTCACTGTGTCTCCTCACCATTCGCCTCTGAATACTCCGTTACAGGCTCCGGCACAGTTTTCTAATTAAACTCCCCCCACGCAGAAGTTGTTTGTTCAAATTAGGTTCCTGCTGTCAGGAGCTTGAATGAACTTGGATAGAGTTAGAATTTCAGCTTTTCAGAACAGTTAGCCACCAAGCAGACTTGAGTTAAATGTGCTCCTGACTCACCATTGTCAGAAAAGTATGCTGTGGAGGGAACACTTTAAGTTTTAAAATATTCAGTGTGATTATTTTTTTTTTTTAAATATATTTTATTGATTTTTTACAGAGAGGAAGGGAGAGAGATAGAGAGTTAGAAACATCGATGAGAGAAACATCGATCAGCTGCCTGCTGCACACCTCCTACTGGGGATGTGCCTGCAACCCAGGTACATGCCCTTGACCGGAATCGAACCCGGGACCCTTGAGTCCACAGGCCAACGCTCTATCCACTGAGCCAAACCGGCTTCGGCAGTGTGATTATTTTATAAAATAGTTTACTGCCTGGTCATCAAACAGCTTCTAGATAATCTATGATAATAAAAGCGTAATATGCAAATCGACTGAACGGCTGAGTAGCAGAACGACTGTCTGGACGACCTTCGGACAAAGCCGGGGCTGCGAGGGCGGAGGCAGCGGGCTGCGAAGGCCCGCTCTTGCACGGACTTCTTGCATCGGCCTCTGGTGTGTAATAAATAGACAGTTCGTAAGTACATTTGCATTTTGTGGTTTGGATTGGCTTACCATACTTTATCAACTGTTTCGAGATACTTACGAACTCCCAGGAGGCCGTAGAAATGGTACAAGAGAAGCAAGCGTTCCTCGCCCGGTGCCCAGGGTTGCCGCCCACACGGAGGGCACAGTAACGGGAGCACCAGGAAGTGGACGTGGGAAAATGCCTGCAGGACACCACCCTCTGCCGTGCCACCAGTCTTCCCGCGTGTGCCTGCGTGTTCGCTGTGTGTGCGTTGGTGTGGCTGCTCCCCGCACCCTGCCCGCCCTTCCCAGCCGCCCCGG